AATACTCTGTCCTCACACTTTCAACTATAAATTACTATCTTATTTGTATTAACCACATATATATATTTTATTTTATTCATTATTATACATATCTGTATAACTTTAAACCATCGTGTCTTGTCATTTAAACACCTTCCAACAACTCTACATCACAGACGTGAACCGTTCAAGTATTTATTCGTCAACGGTGTATTGTGTCGTCCTCTTTCAGGCCGGCCCACTACAGTGTTCTTTATGCAACCCGCCTATAAAGTTGTATCCCTCTGACATCAGTGCAGTCATAGATAGTAAAGAATTTATTATTATAGACTCTTCATTATCTATGAGTCATATGGAAAACGCTATAAGAAAAATTATTATCAATACCCTCATGGCTCATGTTATCATTATCACCTAATCCAAGGTGGATATACACAGTGACGTACGTTCGTTCTTGCGGGGGGGGGGGGGTTAACAAAAATAATCGTTTTTTTTTTTTTTTTTCGTTGCATAGATAAATAACTGCTATAAACAGAATATATTTTATACAACTTTTTTACCAATTTACAGTTTACTTTTACATTACAGTAAATTAATAGCTATTGGAATATAAAAACAGCATAGTTAACAAAACTTTTCAAACACCTGTCAATATAATTATTTATTATAATATTTGTATAGTTGTATATTTTAAGTTCAAAGCGTAATAATGAAACTACTATATCACACGTCATCAATAATAAAACAATTTTCTTTTTTTTTTTTTTTTTGGTACTGTGAAGGGTTTGAACCCGGGAACCCTCCCTTCCCCCATATGTACGCCACTGGATATACATATATATATTCACCTTGATTGACCGGTAGTCATAAGTTAAATCAGAAATCTAATATTTGTATATTGTATGAATTTATTTTATTGTTAAAATTTTAAGAACCATGTAACATTTTAACAATATAATATATTTGTTATCTAATTGTAAACAGCTGTTTACCATTTACAGGATTTCAAACAACGAACTACATAGAATTTTTAAAGAAGTTCGCGAACTATTTCATTTATACAATGCAACCAATTTTTTTCGAACTGTGAACTGATAAGTTACAAGTACTGTAACAATTCAGAATAGTTCATCAAAGTGAATTGTTCAAATGAATTATTTATTCACAAACTTAACATCTCTATCAGTAACAGGTTGTCGACGAATGCGGCGGCAGACAACGACCGATGACGTAATTGAAGTATTTAGGTAGCCGGATGTTGCGCGCTATGTATGAAAATGGCGGCCCGTCTATTTGAGCGGCCTTTATACGACGGTGGTGACTAATTCCAGCGTCGCTTGCGCGTGTGTGCGACGAAGTATTACGTAGTTAATTAGTTATGATTTTCTGTGCCTGATTTCTTGAGATTTTCTGCGATGTTCTTGATGATTGTTTTTTTTTTGTATGATGTTCTAGATTTTCTGAATGCACTTTAAGTAAAAATTCGCTAAAGCCTTAACCACTTTATAATATAATAAAAAAAATGTCTTAATAGTACGTGGTAATGTAATACTCAAGAGCGTATTTGATTTGAGGGCATGGGAGGGAAACTAATTTTTCTTCAATACAAACTTAAAAATAACTTACAGTTCATTACAAGGGCGTACCCAAGGGGGGGGGGTTCAGGCCCGGACCTCCCATTGAAATTTCTATATACTCAACGGTTTAATAGTAAATAGTAGTGATGGGCAACGATATCGATATCGTGACACATTTTCGACACCGATATCGTTCAATAGTTGTACGATATATCGCAATATCAAATTTAATAATTTTTCTAGAAATACATTTTATTTTATGGTTCTTAGATTCTAAGCTTTAGTATATTGTATTGTGAGTGCTGTGCAAGGTCATAACTGGAAAAACATTTCGAGGGAGGGGTCTAACATTATTATTTAATACAATTTATAGTTAATAAACTATATTCTCCGCTAAAATAAACCATTAACTAATAACTAATAAGTATTAACTGTCTAATAATATTACTGATAAAGTTTGTACACGTGTTCTCGGGAAATATGAATTATATTTAACTTTACATTTCTATATTATTATTACATTTGATATAGCTTATAATGTTATCTGTATGGATAAGCATTATGTACTAGATAAAAGTTTACGATTTTGGTGTACCAATAATAAATATATACTAAATTTTAGTGTATTATTTTACTCAATTTATAAAAATATAATTCGATACGATATCGATACACAATATTATATCGTTGCCCAATATTAGTAAATAGTATATAGTATATTTTAATTTCCCATTATTTTCAATATACAAAGCTTATAGATTATATAATATACCTATAATGTATAAAATATGTTTAATTTATACTGATTTTTTAATATCATTTATTATTGTTAATTAAATAATGTATTTTTTTTATAACATTTTAACTACCAAATAAAAATTAATTTCAAATTATAGTACCAGCCTATTATAGTAAACCTTTGTGTAGAATACGTGTGATCTGTGTGAGCTATTGTGACTATTACTTTAGTTATTAACAGTAATTTGTTGGTATTGAATTAAACTATAATTATAATTAGAGAACAGATAAAATAAAAATGTTAGACCTCCTAAAATATTCCCCCTTCGCTCCCCCTCAAATATGCTCTTGGTAATACTGGACGTATTCCACAACTGCCACCAAAAATGTTATGTGAAACTTGGTTTACACAAAATAAATATTAACGCACGATTAATTATTATTGATTTATTTAAATTGTAGTTATTATTTACGAAAGTACAAAAATTATACGGATGGTCTGAGTTAAGATACAATAATTACGACTGTCTAATTCTCTGATACGATCACAACTGCCTTAATGATCTTTCAAATGATGACTCCCTCTTTGTTAGTGTGTTCGCCCGCACGCCGAGCCGGGCGGCATCCCTTAGTCAGCAGATTCTGTCGACTTGTCGTCGGCCAACACACTATTTCTGCTATTCAATAAAATACAGTAGGTACACGGATATTTAGCGGTTCATAACAATACAATAAACCAGCTTATAAAAATGTTCGTTGCAAGTTAATGAAACAATAAAGTTTTAGATAAAATATTTTAAATTTTTCATTGAAATGATATATTTCAAAAAAATAAATTTCATGACATTTTAAAACCCTAGTTATTCGATATCGCGATATGATATCAATATAAATGAATTGATAACGATAATTGAAAACTGTGCATCACTAACGCATAATACTGATATATTTTTATACGATGTCTTAAACAAAATAATTTCTATAATGTAATATAGTATAACGATATTACGAGATAAATATAAGATATTTCAAATATACAAAATATCAGCTATTAGTTGTCTATCACTATGTATTTATCAATCTACATTTTTACTTAAGGTTTATTAACTTTGCTGTGGAGGCATAGGTCCTCGAGAATTGGACGCGGATATTTTGCGTTACCTTCCAAAATAAACTTAACCCGCAGATGATGTATATGCAAGTGCATCACTACCCGTGTACACGCCTATGTACACGGTGGCATAAAATATAACAAAAATTTTTTTTGGTGAGCGCAAACCGTCGTAGAAGGCCACTTATTCGTTGATACCGATCCGCACATCAGACAGTGTCAGTGGATCGATTGGCTTTGTAAACACTATTGTTCTGTTCAGAATAACTCCACAATAAGTGCTTAGTAGCCTTTCAAACATTGAACATTGATTTAGACAATAATCATTGATTATGAAAAGTAGAGTTCGGGTTTATTACGCTAACTCAAACCGGTTTCATGACTTCGGTGTTGAGGTTGACCTTGCGGTCGCAACTGGACGGTGGCCTCTACTTAGCGCGCTCGGTGTCGACGGTCAGTGAAACGGTATATATACCGTTCGAAGTGCCGGCAGTGTTCACATGTGAGAGTAGGTCTTCAGTGTTATTTAATTTAGTCCCTTTGCCGACGACGGGATAGAGCGCACCGTAGTGGACTACTAACGAACCAGTCGGTGACAACGAATAAAAACAACCTAACCGTTGAAAAATGGGTTTCGATCGATATCGACATGTGGCCGTATCACTGGAAAACGGTCAGCTGATAACAGCGTACGAGAGTTTGTATCACGGTCTTAGATTATTAGGTCTGGCAACTTGATAATGGAATCCGTGCTCTTAATGACCGGACAGGGAATAGTCATGCACACGTGTCACTATCTAGCGGATTAATGTTTTTAGTTAATATTATTAACCGGGGCATTCATTCTGCAGCAGCTTTTCTACTGTATGTCTGTATTAAAAAGTACTAGCGGAGTAGGTTTGGACTTATTAGTGTACGTGTAGCGTTTACAACTACAACCTATACGGCTTTACACTCATCTAGTCAGGGAGAAACATGTCTAAGGGAGGGGGCGAAGTCATATTTTATATTTTAAAATATGTAAACTAACACAGAAAAAAACATTGTAAAACCAATACACTCATATCCCCTCCTAAATCTAAAACATTAAACAAAAATTGCGCCAAAAGTTGTAAAAACAAGGGTTTATTGTTAAGTAATTTAACTTAAGTAATGAGTGTTATTGTAGATTATAACTTTTGGAGTTTTTTTTTTTTTATTAAAAATCAGTCCGACTCTTAGTCATCATGCCAAAAAAATGTGCCATATACAATTAGGTACAGAAGGAGTACCGACTTTTATAGTCACTCAAAAGCGTAGAAAAAATTTGGGAATTTATAGTTCCAATTCCCTTATTAGTAGGTGATCGAATTTGTCAAACACATTTTCCCAAAGCTTTTTTAATAAAAGAAAATATAAAAGACGGTCCAGAACAAACAAAATGTTCAAGAGTAAATTTTTCAAGCTAAAATGTATAATATAAAGTTATTAAATATTACATAGGTATGATAAAGAACATAAAAACATATATAAAATGTGTTATATAATAAAATAATATAATATATTAGTATTATATTATTTTATTAACATAATTCTTTTTTTAACACATATTTTTATATTAAGGTACTTTTAAAACCAGATGCATATCCTATAGTTGAATTTGAAGGTTTAAGTAATAATATTCCTGATACTTCTGGTGCAATTGTTGATGAAGGCAATATACATACAAATCAACTGCCTTCGAAATCAAACAGTGTTGTAAAAAAACTGAATATTAGTCATGAGAATTCCTATGATAATTTTGATGAATTAGCTCTGCCTATTTTGCCTCTCTCCCCATATAATGTTTCTGGAATGTTAAACAGTAACATTAATTTTATATTTTTATATTTTATTTTAGTTTTTTACTTACATATTCTGTCATAATTTTGCTTATTCTTAGAAACAATATGAAAATAATAGAACTCAAATGTGTAGTATTCCAGTTCATACACATTTAATAAGAGAGCCCAACTTTGACCTTAGTAAAATAACCAATTCTATAAAATATATTTTTGAACAAATATATTTAAATATGGACTCTGTGCAGTTTCCTTCAAATTGGTGCAGACTCGTTCCTGGAAACAATAAAAGTGTAATATATAGTAAAATTTTATTAAGAGAAAGTGATTTAAAGCCTTACTTTGAGCGATCTGTAAGCATAGATGAAAAAGCAACAATAAAATGTTCATATATGAATGATAAAATTCCATTTAGTCATCTTAAATTAAATTCAAATTTGATACAAAATATTCAAGAACTAGAAGAAGTAATTTGTAAGATGGATAGTTCTATAATGTGCAAAGGAGTTAATATACCAACAGAAGCGTTGAAATATAAAACAAATACTCTATGTATTGATAGTAATGGACATTTTCGACATATTGGATGTTCATTAATACTTATTGAAGAATTTGCTATTAACAGATTAAATGACAATAAAATAATTAGGCAATGTAAATTTTGTAAGGTACCTAGCATTGATTAGATGCCAAAGAAAAAAATTGCGTATGAAACATACAACTATTGCAAAACGTGTTCGTTTACTTTGTACTCCAAGTAAATTTGAAAAGCTTAAGTTACTTCGTCAGCGTAATAAAAATATAAGAGAATTAAATCGTCGTGTTAGAAAATAATTAAATAAATTAAAAAGTCAATTAAAAATCTGTGAAACAAAATGTAGTAATTTAGATGAATTGACTGTATTACAAAATTTAACATCCAATAATATCTCTAAAAATTATCAATTGGTAATAAAGGAAATAATAGCTACCTCCAAAAGAGTCCAAAAGGTAACCGATATACAGAAGACTGGATAATGCTATGTATGCTTTTACACATTAAATCACCTGTTGGTTATTCTTTTTTGCAAAATAATGATAAATTATTATCACTACCTTCAGTCAGAAGAATTAGAGAGTATTTGTCAATGATAAATACTACATGTGGATTTGATAAACAATTTTTTGATATTTTAAAAAAACATTTAGATACTAAAACAGATCTTCAAAAGTATGGTGTTTTAAAAATTGACGAAATCTCCCTCAGAGAAAGTGTTGCAGTAAATTCTAGATCTCTCACTTATACGGGTTTAATAGATTTTGGAGAAGATGATAAAATGAACAACTTGCCAAAAGCAATAGACATAAATTCTAAAGCCACACATGGGTTAGTTTTTATGTTCCAACCCATAGCTGATAATTATACACAGCCAATTGGAGTGTTTGCATCCAAAGGACCAGTTAATGGACAAACACTGGCAAAATTAATTATTAAAGCTGTGTTGCTTCTTGAAAATGCAGGTGCTCGAGTCCATGGGTTTGTATCAGATGGAGTTCAAACTAACCGACAAGTATGGTCTGAGTTTGGCATAAGTGGAAAATTAGGTAGTTCAAAAACTCATATTGAACATTTTGCTGACAGTAGTAGGAAATTTTTTGCATTTTCTGATAGTTCCCATTTAATTAAATGTGTCAGGAACCGACTATATAACAACAGACAACTTCGGGTAATATTAAGTTTTTTTCTTGTACCAATAATAATACAATTCAATATTCATACATTACTTGCAGATAAATTCAAATGAAAATCCAGTGAAGTGGGAATATTTTGAAACATTACATGCCCAAGATAAGAAGAATTGTAACAGCCAATTAAAAATATGTCCAAAGTTGACTGAAAACCATGTAAAATTATTAAATACATGTTTAAAGATGTGTGTACGTCTTGCAACTCAGGTACCTATAGGTTATTAGGTAATATAACTTTATAAAACTTTATGGTTTTTTTTTTCTTTACAGGTTTTTAGTAAATCTGTCGCAGATGGTTTAACATTTTATAAAAAACACAACATAGAAGGTTTGAGTAATACAATAGATTTTTGTTTGATCTTTAATGATCTATTTGATGCATTAAATGCAAAAATTCCTGTTCAAGGTATTAAACCTGGATCAAAAAATTATCAAGTTTGTTACATTTAAATTATCTATATTTTTTGTTTATTTTAAATTAATATAGTACATAAATACTCCTCCCCTTGATTGAACTCCAGCTATGCTACTGTATTTGATGATTGCTTTTGTCAGTTCTATTGTAGGGTTAATAATGTGGGGTACACGGTATTCAACCTGTTAAATGTCTCATAACAACTAACAAAACTAACTATTATTTGTGTTAATTGTATGTGTATTATATTAATTTTCTCTAATCAGTACCTATATATAGACGTGAAAATTACTGTAACAAGAATTATTAAAGGTGCCTTTAAATTCTATCAAAGATATAATAAATGTAAAGGCACCTTAATATTTTCTAGATGAGGCCAGATTTATGTTTGTACCTACAATTTAATTTACAGTTTAGATGTATGCAAATTGTATTCTGTGTTTGTTTAAGTGTTTGATTACCTATTCAATGTAAATCACAAATTATAATTTTCAACTTTAAACCTAACAGATACTTCAACGTTCTCTAGACTGGTTGAACTCTTGGGAATCTAATTTAGAAGCTGAGAAAATTGAATCTCAAGATTTTTTAACAAAAAGTACAGCAGGACTAAGAGTAACACTTACATCGTCTAAAGACTTATCTGCTTATTTAATTGATAAGTATAATTTCAGCTACCTTCTCACAGGAAAAGTCAATCAAGATTCACTGGAGATAATGTAACAATATATATATATATATTTTTTTTTTGTTTAATATTATAAATTAAAAATTTTTTTAGCGTTATTTTGGTACGGTGCGAATGGCTTCAGGTGCAAATGACCATCCATCTACACCAACTTTTTTACAGGTATATAAACTACTTTCAGTTTATGCTATATTAAAACCTCCGAAATATGGAAATTGTACTGTTGATAATAATATGCCGCACACAAATTTAATAACTATTTCTGATATAAAGAATTGTTATGAAAACAAAGAAGATAAAACAGCAATAGATAAATTAAAAACCAAATTAAATGGTCTTATAAATGAAGGTGAATGGGAACTTACAGATATAATAGAACACGATTATTCATTGGCTCCAATTGTGGACTGCTTAAAATATTATATAGCTGGTTATTTAACTCACCAAATAACTAAAGGAAGTTCTTGTCCAAAATGTAAATCTAGTCTCACAAGTATTGAATGTTTCACATCTGAGGCTGATCTGACAAATATAAAATCTAGGGGATGGCTGAAACATCCAAATAAATATTTGTATAAATTATTGAGTGTTATTGAAGATGAGTTGATGAACCATATAAGTAAAACAAGTGTTTTTGAAGATACGATAGAAGCCTTGATAACCAAGTGTGAAACGTTCACATTTCCATGTGCGGAACACAAAGATTTTATTTTAGCATACATTATAAAATATTATATCAATATGAGAATGCATCAATGGACTAGGCAAACAAACCAATAACAGCTAAAAGAAAATGCAAAAAAAAAGAAACTGTCAAAATTTTGTAAATCATAATCTATAATAATTAATATTATACATACCTATAAATTAAAAACTCAAAATTTGTTTGTTTTTTTAGAGTTTTTAGACTTAGTACTACCTTAGTCCATCAACAATATCGTTTAAATCGTGCTAAACGAATAATTTTAATTTATAATACAAAATAAAAATTTCACATAAAATTAAAATCAGATAATATCTAGATCGTCATACATCACTGATAGATGGCAGTACTAGTATATAAGAGTTCCCTGTCCCGTCAATAAGAGCACGGGTGATTACACGTTAATTTCATAGGATTTCATCAAGTTGCATAGAGCCATTGAACTATATGATAACTGGAACGCTCACAGCCCATATGACTAATGTAAATGAAACCGAGCGGGTCTGTTAGAAAGAGATAGCAAATAATATAGGTGTGTCTATCTCTGTCTTTATTGATAATACGCCGTATCGTAATAATATCGTATAGAGGTGGGAATTTTCGGTCTTTTGAATGATTCGAATCATTTGAATCGAATCAGTCAAGTGATTCGGTCATATCAGTCATTTCGGTCTAGTATCAAATATCGTTCTTATCATTAGGTGAATCAATTTTCTTATGAAATATGAATCAGTCAATCAAAGACAGAGATTGATTATAATATAATGTTGTAGATTGTAGTTTGTACTGTTTGTAGTAAAACGCCGTGGTTGTTATCATAAACCATGATAATTATCACGGCATTAGATTATTCAATTATTTAATATTATACTAATATAATATACTACCTATGATTACTATTATAATTTATAGACTTGTGTTTTCTTAACTTTTTAGCGGGCGCGCCATCATTCTTCAAATAGTTCAAATCAGTGGCGGATTAAGCAATTTGCCGCCTACAAGCAGGACATTTGCCGCTGTTTCATTTTCAACCTTTTTTAAAAAAAAAAAAAAAATACATATAGAAATACATTGTTTGAGATAAATTATTTTTTATTATTTTAAATTGTATACAATAGTCTAACATTAAATTATTTTAGTTCGGCTTTTGAGGTTAGCGAATGTATTGATTAGGTCTTGAAAGTCAATTGCCGACACTAATTCCGATTCAATGCACAGGAGAGCCAAATTATTTAACCGATTTTCACCAATAGTAGATCTTAAATACGTTTTAGTTCTTTTAAGACACGAAAACGATCTTTCTGTCGAACAGTTGGTAACCGCCATACAGGAGTATATTCTTAAAGCGATGCTAACATTCGGAAATAGTTCTTCTAAATTCTGATTTCTAAAAAATGTAAACAGACTTTGATTTTGTTGTTTTTTTTCTATTGCATTTTGCATATAAGTTTTAAAATGTATGCATTCTTGTGTAAATGTGTTTTCATCAATGTCAGTTTCATAAAATTGTTGTAGTTTTTTGGCTCCTTGGACAATATCATCAGTATCAATCGACTTGTCTATGTTGATCAAAAATTTGAATTTATCGTAAATATTTTCATACCCAGAATGTCTCATATCCAGTTGTTTTCTGAGTTGATCCAATACGGCAAAATAAACAGTTTTTAATTTGTCTTTACCGTCAAAAACCACTTCATTTGCTCTAGAACTACATTCGTCTAATTCATCGCATAAAAGGGATCGCGTAAGACGACGTTTTTTGTCTAATTCATATTCTTCTTTTCTAATTTTTTTTGCTTCATCAATGAATTTTTGGAACATTTCATCAGTTCTTATTTCACTCACATAACCAATTAAAGATTTGTATAGATCAACAACATGTTCCAAGTTAACTGATGTTGATTGTAAAATTGTGCTTGTTTTATTGAATCGTTCTAACAGAGAAGTCCAAAATACAGCCATAAAGACCGACTCAAAGGTACTTAAGTTGTTTTTTAAACCTGTAGCTTTTCTACGATTTATGGGTTTTTCAGAATTATTATTTTCTATATCGTTCAATGTTTCCATAAATTCTTCCCAACTATTTTTAAAAGAAGAACATGCATTATAACGACTAGACCACCTAGTTCCAGTAGTTCTTTTTACTACCTTCTGATTTGGTTTCAATTTCTGTTTCATCAATTGCCACCGATAAGTAGATTTTGCAAAAAAATCATAGATGGCTTCTAAGTAATCAAAAAAAAAATGCCGCTTCTTTGATAGAATCGACTGCGGACAATCCAACGAGGTTTAGACTATGTCCTCCACATGGTACATAAATTGCTTGGTACATAAATGGATTTAGGTTTTGTATCCTTGTTTTTAACCCTGAGTAATATCCAGACATGTTTGCGGCGGTATCATAAGATTGACCACGGCAATCCTGTAAATTCAAACCAAATTCTTCCAATGTACCTATAACTGCATTTAGCATGTCTTTTGCCTTATGTCCAATATTGGGTATAAATTTTAAAAATCGTTCAACTTCGGCTGGCGTATCTTCTTGAATTTCTCGTTTTACATATCTGATTACAAACGACAGTTCATCCACGTGACTGATATCGGGCGTTGAATCAACAACAATGGAAAAATACTTGCTACGATTTACTTCATCAATAATCACACTTAATGCTTTTTTTGCAATCAAGGAAATAAACTCTTCGCAAATTGTAGAAGACAGATAGGATGTCTTACCTCGACCCGGATTTCCATAAGCATGTTTATGATTAGACATGAAAGGATCGAATTCCGCAATAAGCTCCAAGCACATCATAAAATTTCCATTCTTATTTGACCCAAATTGCTCATTCTTCCCTCTAAATGGTAATCCTCGACTACCAAGTTTTTTTACTACCGCTACAAGTCGTTGAAGCACATTTCGCCAATAATTCATTTAATTTTGAATTTGTAGTTGGAGCCCTTTATCTATTCGATTTTTCAACTTACTTCTGTTTAAGAAAGTGCTAGAGCTTTGAACATGCTCTGTGGAATTTTCATGGGAGATTAGGCCACTGTGTACATTATTCCAATCATCATATCCATCTGTACCAAATTTTGAACTACCCTTACCAAATAAACGGCATGGAATGCAAAAAAGTGCCTTTTTACTCGAAGAATAGCATAAATATTTTCTGTGCAGTTTTCCATTTTTCATTTTTCTTTCAAATGCAAGTTTTGTCAATGACCGATATCCACTTACTGAGGAGTAATACTTCCTTGTGACAGAAAAATCTTCAGGTATGTTCTGATCGATGTCTCTCGAAAGTAGATGGTCTATTGTCGTCTCGTTTATTACCCATTTGGCAGGATCGGTATTTACAGTTATATTATCAAGAGATACCGGACATTTCGAGGCTGTAAATTTAGCTATATCTACGGAAGTCAGATCTCCAGCATCACCTACGTGACTTTCTTTCTCTAATTCTAAAGGTGTTGAAACGGAAAAAATGATAGGGCTAGGTGTAATATCTAATTCAGCATTGGGATGACAAGTTGAACTCGTTGAAGTACTTGTAGTTAAAGTAATAGTACTTGTAGTTAATGTGAGAGTAGTAGTTGATGTTGATGAGTCTATATAAATATAACAATATTCAGTAATCAACATTAAATTATTTAAATTGTAAATGGAAAATTCTACATAATTGTAAATTAAATAAAAATTGTGTATTTTTTTTACCATAATTTATGTTGAAAAAAATATTTTTTTTTTATGCATATTTGTTTTTAACACGTTCACTGTGGATCATATTAAAATACACATTCCTATATTAGGTACCTAGTACCTACATGCTACCTATATTACCTATGTTAATAAATTATAATAAAATTTTGCACACAAAACATCACGGAGTTAGGTACAATAATACAAATAAAAAATGCCGATTGGAGCACAGCAATAATAGAAAAAAAAAATGTTATTATTATTTTATTATTATAAAATATAAGTTACTGCTATGTATCAAATAATTATACAAACATAGATAAAGAAGTAATACAACATCTAATATTATTAAGAAACATCGAATCGCTACGAATTAATCAGTGACGTGCGAAAGCGATATTAAATAATTAATATAATTTAATTAATATTATATTTTTATTCAAGCTTCGGCTGAAACACACTGTATTTATGTATTGTAAAATATTGTGCGGATGACACCATTTTATTGGCAGGTTAACCAAATCGCACTATCGCAGTGAACGTGTCATCAAAAATTTAAAAAAAATATTTATTTTATAAAGTAAATTGTTTTTACCTGTTTTTAAATTTGTGAAAAAACTATCAAGTTTTCTTGTTTTTTGAATCACCCTTTTCTCCTTTTCTTCGTGCTCTTCTCGGAGCTTTTTGTATTTTGCACCACTTTTCCTTAATCTACCATCACTCATTATGATATAATAATTTGAATAAATATTGAATAAATTGAATAAATTGTTATACAAATTAATAAAGATGTCGTTAGTTGCACTGTCGGATAGTGTCACGGTATAGTCGATATACTAAATACTAATGAGTAGAATAATGTTATAAGGATAATATGTATAACATTCTTTGTAATTGTAAATAATAGAATCACGAAAATATAATACAATTGACAGAAAGAACGTCGTATGGGGCCGTATCGGCTATCGCTATAATATATATATGATATATCTATAATTGTAAATTTTAAATAAACCGTTTCAGGGAAAAACATAGTTTCGCTAATAATAAAAATTCGAGTTCATCGCGTTCACAGAAACCATTTCAGTATTCAGTATTTCAGTAAGTTAAATGTTAATAACCTAATGGCCAATATTCGTAAATATATTTTTTCCTAAGTATGACAAATTTGCCGCTCCAATCATCTGATTACTTTGCCTGTAGGGTAACCCGCCACTGGTTCAAATACCATGACTGAGCATATTGAGGAACATAATATAGATGAACCATCTACTTCGGGAATGCCAGCATCAAATACTTCCACACAAATTTTGACATCAGTAACACCAACCAATATTAGACCCGTTCAGACTTCCATAAATTCCTATGTACAAAAACCAGTATCCGTTTCAAAATCAAAAAAAATAGATTCTCAAATAGCAAAATTAATCATTAAACATTACCATCCTTTTAGTCTCGTAGAAGAAAAAGAATTTAAAAATTTAATACAGATGTTGGCACCAGGTTATGTTCTTCCCAGTAGAAAATCAGTATCCAATAGCCTTTTGCCTCAGTTATATGAAAGTACTGTTGATAATATTAAAAATAAATTAAAAAATGTAACAGCAGTTTGCTTAACAACTGACGCTTGGACTTCAATTAATAATGAATCTTACGTAGCTGTTACTGCACATTATATCGATGATGATACGAAAATGTCATCAATTCTGATTGGTTGTCAACATTTCACAGCCAAACACACAGCTGTTTAAATGTCTTCTCTTCTTAAAGAGCAGGTGAATAAATGGGGATTAGACAATAAAATCACTATGATTGTTAGTGATAATGCTGCTAATATAGTTGCAGCTGTTCGATTATGCCAGTGGAGGCATTTTTCATGTTTTGCTCATAGCATCAATTTGATAGTGCAATCTGGGCTAGAGGGCTATATTTTTTGATTTTTATTGGTAAGTAATATACATATTTCTTTAGTTAAAGTTATTTTTTATTAAAGTATATGTGTTTATAATTAAAATATGATGATTGAAGGGTGGGCGGGAATAACGTGCTATGTAACATTTTTTTAATTTTCATGTTTTTGCGGAATAACGTGCTATGAAGCAATCTCGATCTATTTTAAGAATCGAAAAATTCCCAGAATGTTTTTATCGTACACAACCATCGTGTATATACTTCGAAACCGGCGATTAGTTGACTATTAAAACGTGCTATGTGCGTTAAGCGTTTATTATACTATATACTATTCACAGTAAGTCAACGCGACACGAGCCGTGCGAATATCACGATTGTGTTACCAATTTAACTATGACAAGTCTAAATAATTTATCTATTAGTGATGTTAACCGTTTAAGTGATGGACGAAAACGGAAAATCAATATGACAGATTGGAAAAATGTAAAAAACAAAACTCTTCGAAATAGTGGGAACGAATATACATCTCAGAGTAAAAAACTTGTACCAGCTAAAACACCTCCAACCGTGGTTAGTAAAAATGTTATAAATGTAGTAAAATAAACATTGTGTTGAAAAGTATTTTATTTAGCAAGAAAACTTGTATTATTTAACGAATTTTATAAGTTAACGTATGATAAACAATCAGCTTTTTTGTATAAGTGTATAAAAGTAAATGCTCCTGTGAGAAGACGATCAGGAAAAACAGATGCTACATCACGACGATTTTGTTCATTTAAATATTACATAGATGATTTATAGGTTTGCAAAAATACTCTTTTAAATACGTTTTGTATTACAAGAAGACGTGTTATGACGTTACAAGATGAAATTAAATTAGGTATTATAACACCTAGGAATAACCGTGTAAAACATTTAAATAGACCTCATGCTATTGATGCCCCTGTAAGAGATTTAATTAGACAACACAGAAATAGTTTACCTCGACAACCGTCTCATTACAGCCGTATCGCTACAGATAACCTGCAATGTTTGAGTTCAGACTTAAATTTGTGTAAGCTGTTTCGATCTTTTAAAAATAAATATCCAGATATAAATGTCAGTAAACGTATCTATAGAAATATTTTTCGATCAGACTTTAAATTACGTTTCGGCTATCCGCGTTCGGATACATGCAAACAGTGTGATTTTTTTTATAATAAATTGGTGGCAGCTGATACAGAAGAAGATAGAAAAAAAATAGAAATTGATAGTAAGTTGCATCATTCTAAAGCTGAACAATCATATGATGCCCTTAAAAAAGATACAGACATCGGTAGACTCAATAGCTCTATTGTAGTGCTTTGCGTTGATCTACAGCAAGTATTATTTTGCCCAACTCTAACACATTCTAATATGTTTTATCAGAGACAACTTTCCAACAATAATTTAGCAATTCATAACGTAAGTAATAATGAAGTTTCTATGCATTTGTGGTATGAATGTATCGCTAAAAGAGGCTCATTAGAAATAGCTTCGTGTATTTTAAATTATATCAAGAATAATTACGATATTCTTGGACATGGTGAAGAGAGGAAATTGATAATATGGTCTGATAGATGTGTCGGTCAAAATAATAACTGGCGAGTATTAAATATGTATTCGCATCTAATATTTTGCAAGTATTTTACAGAAATTAATCAAAAATTTCTTTCGACTGGCCATAGTTTTTTACTATGTGACCGTGATTTCGCTTTAATCGAAAAACAAAAAAAAAACAGCAAAAGTATTTGTACCATCACAATGGAAATATGTTATAGCTAATGCAAGATTAGAAAAACCATTTCGTATTATAGAAATGTCTCAAAATGATTTTAAAGATTTTTCTGCATTAGAGCAAGATATTACAAAAAAAAATCTAAAAATAACACAAGCAATGTGGTTGAAATTGACAGCTGATGCTCATAAGCATGTAAATATTCGTGAAAGTCACAATACGCTGAGACCTTGGACATCACATCAAATACGTCAAAACAACTTTAAAGATAATACTTTATCTATTAAAGATTTACCACCAGCCTACGAATCCCCAGTGGCCTTAACAAAAGAAAAGAAAAAAGATCTTTTAGACATGTGCAAGTATATGCCTCAACAATACAGTGACTTCTATACATCATTACCTGGATAATATATTGTATTCATTTTAAAATATGTAAAAATAATTATGTGGTTTTTAAAGGGTAATAAGATACCAGGATAATATTATATTGTATTAATTTTAAAATATTATTATAATTATTAATATTAGTATTTATGATATAATTTTGTTCAAGTGAAATGAATACAGTACCTACACAAAAAAATAAAATAATAAAATTATTGTAGAGTGTTATAGTCGAATATGTAAGAACGTGCTACGTGCGTTCCAAATAATATTAAAAAAAATGTATAATACAGTTTTCGTTTTTAGTTGTTCCTGAACATTTACGAATTGCAACATAGCACGTTATTCCCGCCCACCCTTCGATTATTGATACTATGCTAATATTAGATTGTAAGTAATAGTTATTTTAATTTTTGATTCCATATGGCATCATTGGGACTATCTATAACTTAATTGATTCCACTAAAATATTATTTTTTTTGTAGAAAATAATTTCATATATTAAATTATGGCTCAAAATTAAATTCAAATTGAAGAGCTTCTCCGAGGAGACTTGTCTGATATTAACGGGGAAATATATTAAGAGCATGTAAGAGGATAATATTTTAAAAATGAATAAATAAATAAATAATAACATACATAAATATAAGTATAATTTTTTTTTTTTTTTTTAAGAAAAATTAAATTTAATATTTTAATAATAAATCGCGAAATAAACACATCTCCCTTGGAAGTAGCTAATCCATTGTAATTTAGTGAAGAGAATTATCGAGAATTTATAAAATTTGTTGAAAATAATTGAGAAATAATAAAGTATTTGAGAATTATTGAGTTTAAAAAGTTATTGTGAATATATGAGATTAAATGAGATTTATAAAAAATATATGAGGAAATAATTGAGTTGAATATGAGATAAATTGAATAAAAATAATTAGAGTTGAATTGATGTAAATTGAAAAAGAAAAATTTGAGTGAATTTAGTTTAAAAGTACTAATAATATATTGGAATGTCATACGCCGCCTTGTGTATAATAGTGCCTTATATATCATTCATGATTTGGAAATATATGGGGGAAAAGGAACGATCAAATCTACTTCTAATTTGGGCTTGAGTGGTGATATTGTATTACGTTTGTCAGATATTATACCCAAACATAAAAATTATAAACCGAGTTTTGATAATTGGTTTACTTCATATAATTTGATGTTAAATTTAAAAAACCTAGGCATTTTGTCAGTTGGTAGTGTACGATCAAATAGAATAGCAGGGTACCAATTTGAAAATGACATACATCTAAAAAAGGTTGGTAGAAGGAGTTTGATACAACAATTGATACTTCCAATGGTATTATAAGCTATAAGTGGTATGATAATAAAAGTGTTCACTTAGTATCAAATTATATTGGTACAGAACCCACAGACTTAGTACAACGTTGGTCAGCATCAGATAAAGCACGTATTCTTGTAACCAGATCTGCAATGGTAAAAGAGTATAACTCTTTTATGGGATCAATTGATTTACACAATTTGCTTGTAGAACTTTACTGTACAGACATAAATGTAATAGATACTACTTAAGGATTGTTTTTCACATTACAGACATGTGTATTGTCAACAGTCGGTTGATCTACAGGCGCCACTGTAAACAATTAAATATTCTAAAATATGATCTTTTAGTAACTTTTAAAAATTATAAAGCACAAGGATTACTTTGATCTGGAAAAGGTAAATTAAAAAGAATAGAAAAGTCAACTTATCATACTCCACTATCCAGAAAAATAAATACAAATACACCAGTTTCAGATGTAAGATATGATGGATATGAACTAGAGGTCTCAATGGAACACGTGTTTTTTTGCACCCGTGTATCCGTGACACGGATGCACGGATATATATTATGAACAAATACGTATTTCACGTGACACGTGAATTCCGTGATGACATTCACGTGAATTTACAAAATACGTGAATTCCGTGATTTATATTCACGTGCTCCGTGATTCGTTTTATTTTTAAATTTTTATCGGTTTTAATAATAACTATAGGTGGATTAAATAGATATTATGTATTATCGCATATTTAGTCAATAGTCGATACCTAGTGCATAATACATAATGGTACTCATTTATTTATAAACCTACCCAACATTTTTTAAGTTATCTCTCATTGTACCGCGTAATATGTTTTTGTATGTGCACGAAATTTTCCATTTCTATTTCTTATTCAGTATTATCCTATTCAACCGTAATCATATATCGGAGTCTCATATATTTTTTAACTTCATCGAAAATTGAGATAATTAAAAAATAACTTATTGTAATGGGCAATAAAAAATCAAGTTGGGTTTGGCAATATGCAAAAAAGAAAGGGAATGTTGCATACTGTCTTTTGTGTGATGAGAATGAGAATAATGAGTTTGTTTGCAATGGAGGTACAACTGGATCCATTGGGCGACATCTGATGTTGATTCATTCCATGAGTAACGAAGTAAGAGAAAAAAAGAGGTAAATATATATTATTATTATACCTAACCTAATAGTACTGTGATTTACTGATTTCCGATTTTTAATCGATATTGTCGTAAAAAAAATTGTGTAGCTAAGAATTGAAAATGTAATAGAAGGTTGTTCATAAGTTTTTATTACAATGATATCATAGAAACATCGAGCGGTAGTCAATTAAAAATTTTTACGAGCGTCTAAATTTAAAAAATTTACAATACTAAAAAAAGCGGGTAAGTGCATGCCACTCTGCTGTACAGGAGTTTACAAGTGGGTTACTGTAATGGATGGTATTAAATCTGAATTCAATGATATAATATCATTGTATACGAAAAACGATTCTGATCGGAGATGAGTTGTCAGTCTAGGATATTTTATACAATGTTAATTATATTGTTATTTTTTAAAAACAAAATGTAGGTACTTATAAAATAAATTCCAAATTAATCAAATTAGATTTATTATGTTACGTGGAACCTTGTTTCAAATTTTCAATCAAACATTTTATATATTTTTAACAGCTAAAGAATTTGTAAATTTTGTCAAAATTTGAACTTTAAATGGTTAGGTTAAAACGTGCCTATGTATTTTTAATATTTTAAAACTGCTATTATAAAAACTTATGGGGAAACTTGTATTAAATTTTCAAGTTTTTTGAACAACGAATAACATTTTTATAGATTGATGAAATAAATATTTGGTGTAAATTTCAAGTTTCTACAATTATTCGTTTTTATATAACAACAAAATAAAAATATCGGTACAACAGAAATTGAGTGAATATCCAATATTGTAATTCAAATGCTCATAAAAATTTAATTTGACTTTCCAGCAGAAATTTTTTATTTGATAAAAGTATACAAACTCATGAAGAATCTTGTATAGAATTTTGAAATCTTAGATTTAAAAAGAAACATTTTTTTGAATTTCTAACTCAGAATAAATTGCAAATTTTCGTGATTTTTACGTATTTTGTCAAAATTCAAATTTTCAATTCTTATCAAAAAAAAATTGTCACTATATATTTTTAATATTTTTTAACTACTATTATAACAATATATTAGAAGCCTTGTATTAAACTTTGTATCTATTTAACAGACAAACATTTGACTCAGAAAATGAGATGCTTGAGACTAGAAAAGACTTAGAACCTATAACAGAAAATTTGAGTAGCCAATCTACCACCTCATTAAATGATTTTGACCAACCAAGTACTAGTTCTTCAAATATCAATTCTGATTCAACATCAAATATCAATTTGACATTTAACATTTCAAATTCTTTAACAAGTCGAAAGCGCCAAAAACTTAATAACCAAAATACTACGTCAGATAAATTGCTTAGCTCTGAGAGAACTGAGAAAATTCATAAAGCACTTTCAAAAATGATAGCTATAAACCAGATGCCTCTTTCATTTTGCTCAAGTCCGGGTTTTAAATACTTCATGAACGTTGTTGATCTTAATTATAAGCCATGCTCTGCAGAAAATGTAAAAAATCGTTTAAAATTATTAACAAGTGAAATAACACAATTAATTAAGAATGAATTAAATGAAGTAACAAGTGTGTTATGTACAACAGATGGCTGGACCTCCAGATCTCAAGAGTCATATATAACAATTATCTGTCACACTATCGATCAATATTGGAAACCGAAATCATATACATTGACAACTCATGAAGTTGATGAGCGACACACAGCTGTGAATTTAGCACATCATTTAAAGAAATCACTTATAGAGTGAGAAGTCGATAAAAAAATAAGTTCAATTGTAACAGATAATGCAGCAAATGTCATCAACGCTGTATCACAGTTAGAATTTAATGATAATATGGAAAAATATGGATTAACGTGTGCAGCACATTCTTTGCAGCTGGCTGTTAATAAAGCTCTTTTGGACGATGAAATTCAAAGAGTTTTAATAAAATCAAGTAAAATTGTTTGCCATTTTAAACATTCATCGATATCAATGAAGAGTTTGGAGAAAACACAACAACAATTAAATTTACCAAAATTAACTCTTTTACAATATTGTAAAACAAGATGGAATTCTAGTTTTTTAATGCTAGAAAGACTCTATATTAATAGAGCACCTATTACAAATGTTCTCGCAGATCGTAATATAACAGCATCTAATATTGCCCAAAAACTAGAAATTACAGAAACTGAATGGGTAATTGTTGAAAAATTATTAGTACTACTGAAACCATTGCAAGCTCTCACTACTTTATTTTGTGGAGAATTAGAATCTTCTGTTTCAATGGTACGACCTTTAATACACAAAATTGTAACTTCCCATTATGAACATGGTATCGAAGATGACAATATAACGGAACGATTTAAGAACACAATTTTATATCAACTGACCACTCGTTTTGAATTGACATGGAAAGACATTGTTTTCTGCAAGACACGTTGCTTCTTTTCTAGATCCAAGATATAAAGATATGGATCATGAACCCGTACCAGCTAGAGAGAAAATTCGATCACATGTCTTGCAGCTTATTGAATCAGTTGCCCCAACTATTACAAATCCTAATGATACAGAAGAAAACGATTTGAAAATGAATAATGTGTTAGCAATTATTTACAAAGACCATACTAATAGTACAAATGACGCATTTACACAGTTTACGGGATATCTTTCAGAACCTCAACTTCGATTTGATTTAAATCCCTTAGAGTGGTGGAGAACACGAGAAGAAAAATATCCAGCAATAGCAACTATTGCCAAAAAATATTTAGCAATCCCATCTACATCGGCAAGTTCAGAGAGGTGTTTCTCAACGGCATGTAACATTGTGACGCCAAAAAGAAGTTGTCTTCTTCCTGAAAATGTAGACATGTTGGTATTCTTATACCAAAACAGAAAATTATATTTCTAGAATTATAGACTATAGTTCTTGATATGTTTAATTTAAGTATTATTATTATTGTTATTATTGGTTATTCAACTGTGAATGACGTTTATAATTTATATTAAATGTTTAATAAATATCGTTATTAATTATATTAGTAAATCTTCATTATTTCTGAAATAATAAAATTCTTTTAAATGCACGTAGTGTATTTCACATTTTCACGTGTATCTTTTCACGTGTAGGATTTATAAATACACGAAATTCACGTGTAAGATTTTTAAATACACGAAATTCACGTGAATTACGTGAACTACGGATTACACGGTTTTCATCACGAAATTTTTAATTTCACGTGTACACGTGAAATCCGTGTACACGTGTTTTATGAGCTCTAATATGAACACTGGCCTGAGTAAATAGAAAACAAAAAAAGATGCAAGAACTGTCTGTCCAAACCATATTCCAGAACCCAATGTACTAAACATAGGCGTAATTCGGAGGTATATACAAAAATAATAGTCATTATTAGAGTCGCGACAACGATACCACACGCGCTTCGGTACTAGTTTCCTGGAAAGTTATCGGTTATTTTTAGTTTCTATCTCGAATGGTATAACTGATATTTCATTGTTCGTTGCTGGTACAGTTTGATGTCAGATGTCAGTATTGATGTGTAAAGATTGAACTGAGACAGTGAGACATGGTAAGTTAATTTTAGTTATTTCATTATATGTTTAACTAGTGACGTAAAAATACAGTATTAATTTACTTTGTATGATACAGTGTTTATCAAACTATGACATAATTAATTTTTGTATTATACACTAAACAATATTCAAATTCTTTTATTTTATAATATACAAAAATTTTGAAATTGCACGATGACAATACATCGTAAAATTAATGCGCGTTTATAAGTCGCTTATTGTCAGTAAGTAAAAATAAAGAACTAGTAATCACGGGACACGGGTTATTCATAATACGTAATCGATATAGGGGAACAATGGGTAGAATGGGGAACTTAATGTTCAACATCAATTTTACAGTAATCTACTTAACGTAAAACTCCCAATTCTCAATCAATAAATGATTAACAGTATAAATATCAATTCACATCAATAATCAAATAAATAACTCAAATATATTTTACTTTATTACCAACAAAAAATAAAAAATAACTTGCCCCATTCTACCCCTACCTTATGGTAGAATGGGGTATACATATTAAAATTTTAACATCTTATATTTTTAAAACATAAATACTTTTTTTTATTCATTAATTATTTTTTGAACAATATTTACATGTATGTAGTGCTTCGTCATCGCTGTCAACTCCTGCACAGGAGTTGTGTGACCACTTTCTACATTTCATACAACTAATCCATCTTTCATTGGACTTTGAATATAGTTTTCTACAGTACAGGCACTTAGCATCTGGATCATCTTCACTTGAAGTTGAATCTTTTCTCTGTCTGTGAACTTTTTTTCTTTTTTTTTTTTTACAGTGTCAACTAGTTGTCTCTTCATTATCTTATTTTTTTCTATGATTTTCTTTTCTTTTACTTCTTTATTTTTTTTGGTCATTTTCAAAGACATTTGCAAGTTATTCTTGTAGGGCGATTCCGTTAAAATAGCTGTTTTACCTCTCTTTCTTGAATTTCTTTTTTCTGTTTGTTTCACTTGAGGAATAGGTAATATATTTTTAGGCGATTCAATCGGAAATGTATTTGGTTGATCATTAAGAACCGATGAACACTTTGGTTCATTGAAAACAACAGTAGTTTGTTCTGTCGTTTCCAAGTTTAAATGTTGATTATTTAGTTTTTCAGTTACTACAGCATCCTTTTCAGTCGACGAAATACTCGGTACAATGTCAGTTACAACAGATGGTAAAAAATCTTCATCACTAAAAACATTATTGTTCGGAAGCCATATTCCAGTTGCTTCAAAACCTTTCATTGCAGTTTTCATGTTTGCAGCATGTATGAATGCTGCACCAAATAATGATGAAATATTTTCTAAAGTAACAACTTTTCCTGGATTACAACGGAGCCATTTTCTAACTCCATCTTCATAATATGTGCTCAGTGGTTTCATGAATGACATGTCACATGGTTGTAATTTGTGTGAACAATGAGGTGGAAAGCATAGTAAAATAACTCCATTTTCTCTAGCTGCGTTAATAACCGGAAGATTTTTAGTGTGTGAAGAATGACCATAAAAAAGTAATAGAACTGGATCTTCTTTTGTTGCTCTCGAAAATTCAATAAATTTCATGAACCATTTTAAAAACAGTTCAGAAGTAATCCATCCTGTTTCATGACATTCAACCCACGATCCAGGGGGTAGTCCAGTAGAAAAATGTGGTTGATTTCTTTTTCTTGGGAAAATTAACATTGGAGAGACATACGCATCGCTAGCTGAAAAGCATATTACTGCAGTCACAGTTTCTCCGCGTTCAGCAGATGTTAAAATGCCAACCTGCCTTTTCCCTTTAGTAGCTAACACTTTTGACTGTCCCTTTGGATTTACTGTGATACCAGTTTCATCGCAATTATATATTCTATTCGCATTCAGCTTATATTTATCAATGTACCCAGTTAATAAATTGAAGAACTGAGTATAAGTTACTTTATTAAAACCCATAGCACGAGCACCAGAAGTTGCTTCAGGTTTTCTTAAGCTCAAATCTGGATGTCTTAATAAAAAACCATTCATCCAATCCTGACCAGCCATTCTATTAGCTTTATTAAAACGGTGAGAGCAACCATTTTGTTCGGCAAGTTGAAAAGCCAATTTACGAAAATCTAACATTGTCAAACCAAAGTCTTTTTTCCATAGACTTCAAATAATCAACTAATTCTAGTTCCTGCTGTTCATTAAAAACATTTATATTTTCCATTGGTTTTATCAATAACGAAATCGGGATTTTCTGTTTTCTTTTTTACATAGCGTTCCAATGTCATCTGGGGAACTGCAAATTGCTGAGCAGCTTTTTTATAACCCATTTCGTTTTTGAGTACAACAGAACAAGCTTTGTCTATACTTTCAGTTGACCAATTTTGCCTCTCCGACTTTCGAACGTAATTTCGTACCATATTCTAATTAAAGACCAATATAAATTAAGTATACAGGTAAATATTACTTTAAGTAACTTAAAAACGTATAAAAAAAAAATAATGGGGCGGAATGGGGTATTACAAAAATATACCCCATTCTGCCCTGTTCCGTTGTGCCCCAATATACTATTTATAACTTAACTAAGAGTTTATCCCAAAAATTGTGATTATTTGATGTAAACAAGAATAACAATCTAACATTAGTGTGTTATCTCATATGTTTTAACAATACACGGGTAACTGAATAATATTAAATTCCACTTACCAGCAGTGAAAAATCGACGAAACTTATAAAAAATTGCTTCGAAACAACGAATAGTTAACTAGTGTAAAAATATGTGGATTGTGATTATGGCAACGTTATCTATGATAACATGGAGGTAAAACATTATTATTTCTGACGATACTAAGCGATTCGTTACGTTCCATATCGAAAAAAGCGGTTACCCCGTTGTGCCCTGTATCCCCATTCTACCGCGTGTTCCCCTACTATTATTTTTTTATAATCGTACATTATGTTTGACGTTATGACTGGTTTCCTTAAAATAAGTTTACTTGTTAATCATTATTAGTTTTTATCAATGTGTTCTTTATTTTGCTATATATATATAGTGTTACATGATGATGTGATAACGATCGACAATAGTTATCGTTTTCTTTGAAATGCAGATAATATTATTTTTTTAGGTTGCAGCGATGACGTTAAGCTTAGATTTTTATATATCTATATTTTATTTTTCTATAATCAATGATCCTATGTATATTTTTCAAAAATTATTATGTTTATAACTTATAAAAATGCAATAAATAATGATCTCAAAATAACGGTTACTATTCATATTTTTCCTATATATTATTATCATTATTATTCTTATATTATATCTGAATGCAATATTTTAATAATTTAGTTACATTTAAACTGTGGTTTTTAAGCTTTACATGTAATGTGTAATGTTTATTATTTTTTTCTTAATGAGGTAATATTATACACTGAAAACTTAATAACTTAGTACTAACATTGTTCTCGCAACAAAACAAAACCGGTGAATTGACTTAAATTATATTAAAATATAGATGTTTTATGTAATTTACTTTATTTTTAATGATAAAAGGTCATGATGAATCTACAGATTCAAAAAACAGAGGAAACTTTTTGGAGTTGATGAAACTTTGTTCCAAAGATAACAATTTAATAAAAAAATTCTTCATGGAGCATCGTAAAAATTTTCAGTATACTTTAGCGACTTTTCAGAATGAGCTACTGTCCATTATTGGGGAACAAATTAAGTGTCAAATTGCTAAAGAAGTTAAAGGAGCCAAGGTTTTTGCAATTTTAGCTAATGAAACTCAAGATATAGCCAAGCACGAACAAGTAGCTATTGTTTTGAGGTATGTTAATGAAAAGTTAGAAGTTCATGAGTCATTTGTGGGGTTTTACCGTGCTAAAAGAACTGATGGCAAAAAATCCTAACCAGTATTTTAATGGTATACAAACACTGAATTTTCCTTTATCATTGAGTATACTCTTACTGTTTAAATTCCATCCTGCATTCTGATAGCAATAATAATTATTTGACGTACATATTAAATATCCTTTTAATGAGCTAGTTATTCCGAGAACACGTGTTCTATCAACTTCTACACCATTCATTTCTAATCGAACCTTATAAAAAAAAAAACGATAATCCATTATTTAACATTGTTATTATTGCTGGATCTTCTATTTTTCCCTCGATACAAAGAAAACTTTCATTTAGATAAGAATATACATCCGTCTGTTGGACCCCAATTCGTATTTCATCATTATTTTTACGTTTTTTACGTAATATACACGTTTTCCTCCGTTTATATTATTTTCGTGCTTGCTATGGTAGTCTTCGTCAAATAAACTAACACAAATCAAACATTTTAGTTTGATTCTTTTTCTTTTTTTTTTTTTGACGAAACTTCACTCATTTTAATTAAAAACTACAACGTAATAGATCACGGTATCGCACTTGAGCACAATAGAAAAAAAAATAAACACGTTGTACCATCCAAAGAATTAGCAATTTTTGCTTATCATCAATTGCACCAATATCAGATATTAATATTCTAAATTGTCTAAGTGGTAGTTGGAAATCGGCGTTTAATGTTATCAACACTTTACAATTTGTTGTAAATCCATGTATATATTAGATATATATATATATTTATATTAATATATTTATATTCTATATTTAGAATTTCTATAGATATTCCAGTACCAGTATTCCACCGAAGTGTTTCGCGTAATAACGACCGTCATAAGCCGAGAAGCTAATGTTTTTCAACATTTTAACAAACCGTAAATAAACCAAACATAGCATAATAATACAAGTTTAGACAACCAATAACTATTAAATTTATAAATAAATATACAACCATAATTATTTTAATTTATATATTATACATTTAATTGCAAGTACAATTTAAATTGAAATTACCGACTCATATCTTAGATTTTTAATTGCCAACTTATTATTTAGTTCCACAGACGTCTAGGTGGGGTGTGTGACACTCCCCTTCTAAAACCGCCCTTGAGATTTAGTACGGTACGAGTGTGTGATGCGTGATCGTGTCCGTGGATCTATATATAAAATGATATTCTATTTTTTTTAGCAGATAAACAATAATATATAAATAATCAATTGCGTGAGATAAAACCTATCAGTGAAAATTCAGAGCTGTGGATCTTCTTTTTTGTTTTAAAAAAGACAACATTTTCTATAATGAATCGTTTATATTTTTAAAATAACTTTTTTAATACCTAAATAAAAACTTAACATTTTACAAATTTTAACTTATAAATAACTTTGAATCTATTTTTATTAGCGAAAAATAAAAAAGCCATATTATAAATAATATTATTTTCTTTAAAATAAATAAATATTGAGCTCCGATTATGAATATTTAGGTATTGAATGTAAATATAAGGCTTGTTCTGCATGTAACATATTTTTACATGTCCTCTTAAAATTACTACAAAAAAATGCAAAAGAATTATTTTTTGTAGTTTGAAGTAAGTCCTTAATGATTTTAAATTATATATAAAAGATAATATTCTTCATGTATTACAAAAAAAATATTTATTGATTTAAAATAATTATGTTGTTTGTGAAAAAAATATTTATGCACGATCAATTGATTAACTGACCAATTTAAAAATGTTTTATGTTATATAACGATAGATTCAAATACAACATTTGTTATATTAAGGTATATTATTTATAGATAAGTGTAAATCAATGACATCAAAACCATCTTCAATTGTAGAAAATAAAATAATAATTAATACTGTATTGTACAAGCAATATCTATAGGTAAAAGTATTTTATTAATTTATTTTAGGTTTGTGAAAACAATTTTAATTGCTTATTGAATTATAACATTAAAAATATTTAGAATAATTTTTCTAGTTGTTTTATAATCATAGAAAAATATAATAGTTGTTGGACCTCAGGAATAATATTAAATAGATTTATAATTAGCGTTCGGGGTTTGTTGCATTTGCATATCGTTTAATAATGATTGTAGAATAATCTAAATAAGATTTGTTTTAAGTCATAATGGATTGAAATACAAACATTTAAATTGCATATTTTCGCATATTTCGCCGTTTTCTGAGCAAAACACATATTTGACAAATGTTCACAATTTAATTATTATTTATAGCATATTAACGCTGTTTTCGTTTGATGTTAAGTAAATTTTTTTTAAAAGTTAACATTACTTTTCTTTACTTTCATTCATAGGTCAATATACCTAATCATAGAATCAGGCAAAAGTTCCTGCGAATATTATAGGTAGGTTATCGTAAATCGTTTATAGAACGTAAAAGGAATATAAGTTTTCAATTTGTTTTTTCATTGTAGGAGATTTGTTTATTGTTGTCAAAGAATACTATAAACATTTTTTTTTCTAAATTGAAATTAATAAATCAAATTGTTTAACTCTAATTAAAAAAAAAAAAATATATCCAGTTGTATATTTCGGTTATTTAAGTGTATTTTTCCTACAATTTGTGTGCATTAAATCCCAAACCCTATTTATAATCAATAAATATAATTATCAAATATTATATATCAATCGATTGCATTAACGAACAATATTATGATTTGTTTTATCACATACTTTATTATAAGTTATTCGCTTTCGTAGCATGCATTTATTTAATTTTTAATAAATACATTTTGATAAAATTCAAAAACAAAAAAAATTAAATAAATAATTCGAAATTATGAATAAATCAAATGATAAAATTGTTCTAATCATGAAAAATTTAAATCATTTGACCGGACAGAACAAATAAATTGAGAAACGTTTAGTTGTTTTATGCTTACAATGCAGACGATTCAAAAAGATTCCATGTAGGTATGTCATGGACATTATCATTCTTATATTGTTGAAAACTAAGTTTTAATTTCAAGTCTTGTACTTTTTCTTTATAATTAATCGCATAGTAATTAAAAAATCCCGTTTTAGTTAATAAACTTGATTTGTTTGCTTAGTTAACAATATGTTGTGTACTAAAAACAGTGCGACTACATTGCACTATGATTTATAATAGTTTTTCAAGGTAAAAAAAAAAATGTCAACAGTTGTTCACACTTGGAAAATGGATACTATGAACTAAATGAAATACGTAAATAAAGTTATAACACGTAGTATATTGATATGTACACAATACACGTAATAATATGGCAACGGCAATCATGTTATATCCAATCACAATACAAATATTTTTCCTAAAAACAAACGATGCCAAAGTTTAATATTTATTATTTTGATTGATCCTATTATGCTAAGGAATAATATACGGAAATTATAGGACTAAAAGTTTTAAACTTAAAATTGGTAACGCGCCTGTAGGAATGAAAACTTATTATCAAGACTTAACGATAACGGTATACAGTAAACATTGCATTAAACAATAATAGTAATAATAATAATAATAAATATAAAAAAAAACGTATAGAATAATATTACAATGTGGCAACAATAGTCGATAAAATTAGACAGTATATAACTTGTAGGTATTATGGTTAACACATACAATTCCTTTATCTAATAATGATTAGAACATAAAGAATGGAAAAATAATGTTAGAGAAAAAGAGATAAAAGTCTTTTTTTTTTTTTTAGACAACGATTATATTATATTATAAAAACCTATATGGTCAATTATAGTTTCATATGGACGATTCTCGATGGAGCGCGTTCAGCAATACCCGGGATGGTACCGGCAGTAGAGGTTCGCCTATTGCCGGATTGATTGTTCTAGACGATGAATGTTTGCTTGTCAAAACTTCCGCTGTTGCCGGTGTATTAGTTGGAGGAAAGGTAGATTTTGGAATAACTATTGTTGAGTTGGGTTTCTGATATTGAAATTGGTACGACGACCACTGGTGATTGCTGTTAATTGTGTTGAACTTCATTTGTTGCGGCTGCAGCGGTTGTTGCTGTTGCTGCCAAGTACTGTCTAATATATCTGTAAAAATATACAAAGCGTTAACGGAAGCACGTAAATAATATTTCTTCTAGAAAATCCAATTAATATTTCACATTTTCACAGCTAGTCTGAGCTGTAGAGTTGTAATGAGATTTTTTTACCGAGAAAATTATGTCTGTCAAATTTAAATCTACTTAACCATAAAAAGTTGTTACCTATTGTAATATTTTTTTAGTGTTTGAGATTAAAGTTCACTGATCATTTTGAAACATAAAGAAGCATTTTTTCTTATATGATGATTACACGGGAATCTAACGGATGATCGGAACTATCCGTCTATTACTTCAAAAAAATCGAAGTCGATTTAATCAGTATAGTCTGATCGGTTAGCATCGAGGGTTTTCGTCGTCTACCGTTCGTTTTAAAGATACGAGCAGATCATGAGGTGAGAATAATAACATTCTAAAATCCGAAATGTGCTTCCGAGGATCTTTTTCCCGAAATGGGACTTTCGTAACAATTGTGATCGGTTTAATGCAGATCGCTAAACGCCCCGAGGTACGCGAAACGATCTGATGTCAAAGAGATCAAAGAGAAGTTATGTCCAAGGTCTAGTACTTCGCAGGACGAAATTATCTGTCTGAGGATAAATTGACCCAAACAGAAGGTTTATAAAACCGAAGATTTTGATATTGTAAACATTTGTATGAATTATCAAGTCACATGGAACTAAACACAAACTATACTGTTTTTTCGATTGACGGGAATGGCAAAAAGTGTTACCAACACGTCGAAAGATCAAGGTACCGGTCATAACGATAGGAAAGTCAACAGTTTTGAACTTAAACCTATATATCTAGACGTTACATTTAATTGAAGCGGGGTAGTTCGGCAAACGGTCGTATTGTATTCTACATTCAAAACTTTTTGAAATATTATAGATTTTTTTTCTAAGTTTTTCAGGAGCTCTAGTGAGTAGTGTCTACTCTATTCACCGACTCGACGACGTGTTTATGCGTACGGGCCGTTTTGAGCGACGCCAGTAGCGCAATTGTCAGGAGTGTTGGGTGTGCAATTCATAGGGGCCCCCTTGCGATCCATTCCGATATTGTGTAACGTACACATATCATATAATTCGTTTTCGTACAATAACAATAAATAATAATGAAAAAAAAAGAAGGGCCATAGACTGGAAATTTTCCAACTGGTCCCTTATCGTCCGGTTACGTCATAGGGGAGCAATAACGATAGTGCGTCACGCACCTGTTGCGATGGCCGTGTAAGTGGTGGACATGACGATGTCCGGACCGGCACCATCGTCGCGGTGGATGCTCATGACGGCTGGCCGAGGCGTCGACTTGTTCACGACCACCCGGACGTCGGCGGTCGGCGGTCGGCATTTCCGAAGTTGCTCGGCGCATTTCTGGTGTTGGCGCTGGTGCGTCGGCGACACTTGCGTCTCGGAAGCTCCGTCGTGATCGTCGTCCACGTTGTTGTTGATGTTATTGCTGTTGTTGTTGTTCGCCGCACCATTGACCGCGTACGACCTGGACGCCGATGACTGCGGCGGCTGTTCCTGTTGTGCTTGCGTGCCCGCCGGTTCTGGCGTTTTCCGCCGGTGTCCCGCGACGAGTTTACCCGCGGCCCCACTGACGTCGTCGTCCGTTCTGCCGTCCGCGTCGTCCGCTTCATTGCGCCCGAGTCCGTACACGTGGCCGCGATCGGTGCGCCGGTTGTAGTACTGCCTGCGGTACAGTAGGGCCACCACGGCGCAAATGCCGCACGACAGCGCGATGACTACGGCCACCAGTACCGCGGTGAGCGCGGCGGACGCGGCCTGCCACTGCCTGTGCGGCTGTCGCCTGCGGTCGGCTCCGTCGAATTCTTGGTAGTGCGGTGGCGGCGGCGGAGGCGGTGGCGGTACCACGACCGAGAACATTTCCACTAACGCGATGGTGACGCGATGCCACGCGTACCCCAGTATCGACTCGTCTGCGGGGAAGAAAAAAAAGAAACGTTAGAAGCATATTTATCTGTTGAAACATGATATGACAAAATCTTATGTATAATTGTTACTACCACCGTTGTTAAGCCCAGATAAATACTTTTTTTCTAGATAAATATAGTATACCAAAAATCTAAAGATAAAATTCAGGTCGACTAAAATTATCTTTATAAATGATAAAAGATAATCATTGTTTATTTAGATTAACGGCAGATGCATTTTTTAAAAAACAACTATTTTGGTATAAAGTGTACAAAAAAAAAAAAAAAATGATCAGACCTATCACGATTAAAATATTTTGTATTCATTTGAGACGTTTGATTTTAAAGTGTTTTGTTTAGGATAAAAAATGTAGGTAAAAACTTGCTAATACATATATTTATTTCTGAATTTCATTCAAGTGTTGATGCTTTCCGTCGTAAGACCAATCGTGTTGGAAAAGCACTAGAAAACGGTTATTGATGGTGGATGGACAATATATTTGCCATATTATCCAAACAATAGGTTTGGCTCTTAAATGCGTCATGATATTTTACAATTTATCAATATAAAATTAACGAAAAGAAAACTCCTCCACTGGGAAGAATGTTATTTAATTCATTAAGCCGCATTCCTACGGGGAGTGAATCACAAAAGTGAGCCACACTAGTAAATTTACGTTAGTGACACATACACGTATGTGTAAAATCAGATAGTTCACACGATTTTACGTTTGTGACGCTCACGATTTAGTGCTCGCTATTTTTTTCACAAGTTTAGTTTACATCGAAACGTCGATCATGACGATCATAAATGATCTAGTTGTTGAAATCCGTGCCATTTTGAGTTCTTTTTATTTTTGTACTATATTAGCAAAAAAGGTTGACCGTATACGAGACACAATGACTGGAAAACGAAAAAAAGACGCTTTTGGGTTGGAGAGTGGATACTGCGAAGGAAAATGTTAGGAGCGACGAACTTCATTAATATAGTGTTATGGGCTATCACATATTCCTAGAAACATGTATAAATAGAATGGTGCGTAACACAATATCACAGGTGTTGTACACCTATATTTGATTAAGTTGGCCATAAACCAGTAATATATATTAAAAGATTAATATATATTCCTAGAAACACTTACATTTAATTAGTTGGCCATAAACCAGTAATATATATTAAAAGATGTAATCTATAAAATAATGAAGTAGGTCAAACGAACGTGGCCTATTGCTAAATAAGGAATAAATGCCGAAAAAACAAGTCCTATGACGTCAATCGAGCCATATAAAAGAGGGACCAAAATGACCACAATTCAGATGAGTTCTAGTCACGGAACAACAAGCAACTTCACGTTACTCTGTATCAGAATTTTTGTTAACACTATGAGTTATAAAATAAATATATTAAACGTATTAAAAGTCTCATGTTTATTAAAATTAAATACATCTTCGACTGCAGTACTTGAAATTGAGCCGGTGGCATGTAACAATAGAATTAAATAGCAATTTTCTAGAAGATTTAAAGAACCTTCTGCAAATGACTATCAGTTTGAATACCTGAAAGTTTGAACGACATAAAATCAAATACGTTTGATCTATCCACACTCGAGTCGTGCGCCAATATTTACGAAAGCAAGTTAAACGGCTGTACGCTCCCACAGAAACATATTCCACGAAAACGTGGCTCACTCTCATGATTCACACTCCTCCATTAGACCCCCCGAGTGTACATAATCAAAGGATTTATTTTTTATATTTTAATAGTTTTTACCAGTAAACAGTAAATGACGACAGTTCCTGTTAATTGTTATTCATTATCTAAAAAGCTATTACTGTCGTTATTTTATATGGTTACTTATTTGGGTATTAAAGTCCATCGACATTTGAAAAAACGTATAAAACGTATATAACCTACAAATTTTTATTATTGAATGTTTTTGTTGCAGCTACACATGCGATGCACGGTAAAATATCCGAATCCCCGAAGATCTCAAAATATTAATTAAATATTGTACATAAAAAAAAAAATATCTGGCCAGTGGTTCCCAAGGGGGGGGGGGGGTTAGATACTGAACGGAGGGAATATATTTTTGATGATATAACGAGAATTTTATTTGCTCTACGAGCATTAATCCTATTTGTATCGATGTATCTCTGTGAGTTAGACTTTTCCACGCTTTTGCAAATAAAAAGCAAGCAAAGAAATCTGTTGGATATGGAAAATTATATGCGTTGCGCGTTATCAAATATATCCCTACGGATTATAGACTTGGTAAGAAAAAAACAAACTCAAATTTCGCATTGAATTAATTTTACCATCATATTTTATAATTATAATTATAATTAATTATAAAGTTGACTTGTATTTTATTTTTAAAATGATGATAGAAAAAATATCATTAGTTGTATAATATGATATTATAATAAATATAGTTATTTTACAAAATTTTCTTTGTATGGCTTACTAAAAAAAAGTCATCTTATTTCTAATTTAAGGGAAGAGGGCATGAGATTTTTGAAAATGTACAAGGGGGGAATGGAATAAAAAAGGTTGGGAACCACTGATCTAGACGAATAAACAGTAGATAACTTAAATTTTCACCATGATAAATAAATAGGTAGCATTTATATTTCTATCTTGATAAAATAATAGATGATAAATATTTAATCTAGATAAGTCTCAACACTGACTACCACCAAGTTACTAAGATACATCTAATGCGAGCAAGATAAAAAATCAAGACAACGAAAATTACAATGAAATCATTTGAACAATAGTGACTTTACAGCAGCAATAATAATAATAACTGGTTATAAATCAAATTAGATATAACGATGGGAATGCATTGGACAGCTTGAGTTACATATGAGAAGACCAACAGACGTGTTTACTTCGGCAAATCCCGATAACGTAAACGATCCGAAGCTTTCACATCGAAGTTTAGCAACAATTTTAGAAATTAATGTATCGCACACAATACAATTGGTGACGTATATAGTCGTTGATAACGACGTAAGCATAATAACACGATTAAAAAAAACGTTTTGATGCTTGAGCATTTTTGCTGTTTCAGAATGTGTACTAAATAATTTCAAGCACACCTCAAGTTGTGGTTTGATGACACGCACACCAAGGAAAAAATAAGAACCATTCTTACGGTGATTCTAATTGGTCAATAATGTGTCTATAAATATGATGTAATAGCATAATAAACGCTGGTTTGGTTTTTTCCAATAATTTAATAACATCTTATCTAGAGAAAAGTTGGTTAATTTTTCAAACTTTCAACTATTGAAAGAATAATAATAATAATAATAATAATAATAATAATAATAATAATAATAATAATAATAATAATAATAATAATAATAATA